TTTTTTTTTTTTTTTTACTTCAATGAATAAAAATATTATTATAAAGTTTATTTATTTAATTATAAGTGAACTCTTTAATTTAGTCAAACATACATGAACTAAAATACCTAAATTGGTAACGAGATTGTGTAGCATGAATATGCATGAAATAAATATGTAAATTTTGAAGTCTAGTATGGGTAATTGGACAATGGACAAGCTGGGACTGTAGTGGCTTGGCTGGGCTGGTCTGTACTTTTTTTTTTACATTCCACCTTTTAGTTGGTTTGAATTAGCTTTTATTGTTGAGGAAATTACATAATTCCAGGTATTTCAATTATAGAGTGCAAAAATCAGGTGATAATATTTTTTAATCAAAATTCAGGTATTGATTTAAAAATTAAATTTTATTCCCGCCCTACCTAATCCCAAACCCTAAATCAATTTTCATCTACCTCTCCTTCTCTCATCGTCTCTCTCTACCCTCTCCATTTTCTTTAGATCGCCGTCGCCATTGTCGAGCAGGGGCTTCATCGCTGCTGTACTGCACTGCGTTGTGAATGGAGCAGTAGCTTCAAAATTCAGACGGATCTGGGGACATTTTCAGAAGGTGCTAGGGACATTTTCAGACGGTGCTGGGGACATTTTCAAACGGTGCTGTGGCTACCACATTTTCAGACGAATATGTGGTGTTGCATCATGGTACTGTGTGGTGGTTGTGTTGCGTTATGGTAACAGTGGTGTTGCGTCTTGGTGTTGGGGACATTTTCAGACGGATCTGTGGCTGCCGTAGGGCGTTGTTGATGTGAAGGTAGGTGGTGATTCTGCAGGCAGTTGCGCGGGGTGACGGCGTGGTAGTTTGATTGTGGAGTTTTATTGGTTGTGTGCAGTTGATGGTGGTGGCCGTGACGGGTTTGGGTTTTTTTGTTGGGTGGTGGTTGTGGTGTGATGTGGATTGTTAGTGGTGGCGGTTGATGGTAGCTGGTGGCCGGAGATTCGATAGGGGCCGTGGTTGTATTTTTGTGGCAGTTGATTAGATCTGGTAATGACAATTTGGTAGTGGTGATGTGGTGTTGGTGTCGGTAGTGGTGTTGTTGTGGTGGTGGTGATAGTGATGGGATGGTGGTGGATTTCGCAGTAACTAAGATGAGTGGAGGTGGTGGTGGTAGTGTTGGGGACAGTGGTGTGTGACCACTATTTAGTGTGTGACCAATTATTTGGTTACATGTGACCAAGTATTAAACGTGACGCTAAAATTTGATAACCTCACATGTGACTTGAAAAGTAATTTGTGACCAACAAATCTGGAACCTATGACCAATAGATAAATCGTGACCTACAATTTTTTTTATTTGTGACCAATAAAATAAACTGACCTATAATTTGGAAATCTGTGACCAATTAATTTGGAAATCTGTGACTGTGTGACCTATAAACTTTGATCTGTGACCAACTAATTTTGAAATCTGTGACCAACGAATTAATGTGACATATAAAATTTTTGAACTGTGACCGTAAATTGTAAATTTGTGACCAGAATGGTCACCGGAATAGTCGTCGAAATCGGAGCAATCGCCGGAACGGTCGCCGAAAGAGTGGTGGTCGGAATGGTTGCCGGAATAGTCCTCAAAACGGTATGGGTGGTGTATGTGGGTGAGTTAATTATATTATATTAGAATTAAATATTTAATAATAAATTGATTTAATAATTTATTATTTCATAAATAAATAAATAACCCGATTTTTAAATTTTCAAACTATAAACCTAATTTTTGAATTGGTGTAAAGTATACACCTTATTTATGAATTTTTCCCTTTTATTGTTTACATTCCATTGCATATGGGCTGAGGACAAGTTGGGCTATAGCCCAAGCTTGCCCTTCCCTACATCCGCCTCTATCCAGGACGATCCCGTTACCATGTCCATTGCTGCTGCAGTTGAAGTTGTGGGAGGGTAGGGGAGTGGTTTGAGGCTGGGACCATCATCACCGTTTTCGACCTAGGATAGAGACCTTATCCATGTTTGTACACGGGTTTATGAGAATGGAACCTCCCTCCTCAAAACACTGTATGTGACCATCTCGAGGATACATAACTAATTCATCACATCTTTATGTCGTCATCAGATTTTAACACATCAACTCCATCTGCCATCTCATCAATTTATCAAAATAAATGAATAATTTCCGCATTTTTTCATGTAAATCAAAACCCAAAATTCTTTTCTCAAAATTCATTTAACCGGTGGAGATTTTTTCAATATCTAAAATCGACTCAATTACAGATGAATTGAAATTAAATGGTCCTGTTGCTGTCCAATGAAGTTAGCTGACACAATTCTAATTACCGTTTGGGTGAAAGTTTAGCGACGTGGTACAATTAAGCCACCGAAAATAGAGGTCGTGTTGTCCTATAAATTAATAATAAAAGAAGGAAAATGCTATATGTACATAGCATGTTCCATAATAGTGTCCATAATGGACACATGGAAACTTCCTATTGGAGAGGTGCCTGCGGGACCAGGCACCACTTCAATAAGGGGTCTCCATTTGTCCATTATGGACACCCTTATGTATTGTGCTATGTACATATAGCACAATCCCATTCCTCTTCAACTTCCGACAATGGACATCCAATCTAGGATCTTACACAAGAGCCTTCTTTTTTTTTTGAATCAAATGTAATATCATTGATGACGCATAAAGCGGATAATGGAGGAGAAACCTCCAACACATGCTCTCCTAAGAGAGATTAAGTGCCTCCTATGCAAAGCAAAACCACAACAAACTATACAGAACCGACACCAGACAAAATAAAACGAAAACAAGACACCACCAAACAAGGTCGAAGAACATCTGTGACTTTACAATCAGGAAAATCCGACTTAAAAAGCCAACTACGCAATCAGCACTTGAGCACCCCCGCACACGAAGTAGCGGACATTGTCTAGACTTCACCACGGCCACAAAGGCAAAAAAACACAGCACTTGAGCACCCCCGCACATAGTACTTACAATTGAATTTTCTTTAAGCTGTAACTATGACACAGAAATTGAACAAAATATTTTAGTTTTGCTATAAGAAAACGAAAATTTCATGAATTTTCTACACTTTCTTAAAGACACAGTGACTACGAGATTGGACAAAAAATGAAAATATGATAAAATTTAGTTGTCTATTGTTACAACTCCTCAAAATTACTGTGAGAATCACTAATACAACCTTATCCCACAATTAGTTTCGACAAGAACACCGCAATGTGTTCCCATGCTTGACATATATGCAATTATTATA